GAGGTGTGGTACGGCGTTCGGCGTCCGTCGTCCGTCTGCCTGTCTGTGTCGACTGTATGTCGTTAGCTTTTTATATATACCTTCCTACTTGGTCTGTAGTTGTGCATGTTTTTCTTTTGAGACTAATTGGATAAACAAAATGGCCGACAGGCGACCATATTGTATTTTGACATTAAAGGTTATGTCTATTTATCAGGAAGTTTGATATGTAGGTTCCCTTGGTCCCTTGTTGTGCAGGTTTAATTTTAAGACTGATCAGATAAACAAAATGGCCAACATGCAGCCATCTTGGATGTTGACACCCTGGCCCTATTACATTTTAAGTTATTCTCCTTATGGGTGTATCATTATGCACCATTTTTGGATGTTGTTAATGACAGTTTAGTAAAGTCCTGAAACTTTGACTGGAATGGGAACTTTGATACAACATGTTGCATTCCCATTTCTACCTGCTGAATCGGTCATCTTGTTGTTCCTTGGTGTGGTAGATAATGATATTATGGAGGTACATAGTGAAACCATTGGTCAGCTAAACTTTTTTTTATTAAATTTGCATTCACATTGTTTAACGCTTGCTTCTTAAATAATTTCACGAACATTCAAAAATTGTTTGTTTCTCATTTTTAGAAACTATCATATGGACTAATGATTGGACGACAAAGAAAGTTGTTTTGAAATACTATTTAGCTAAATATATCTGTCACACAGTAGTATGCGACCAATAATAACAAAAATATATGTTACAATAAGATAAACAAACAAAATCATTGTATGTGTCTTTAGGTGTTGTCGAAAGATTATTATGAAATTTATTAGTACATTTCCTTCACTTCCATATATGGTAACAGTTTATTGCTGAAGTTACAAACAAAACGGTAATTTTGTAGTTTGTCTTTTATACGTAGCATTTGGTTTGCTGGTTAATATGAAAATGTATATTCTTTGATGAACTGCCGTTATGTCATTGACAAGTGTTTTTGAATTTTCCAACGGGTTCATGGTAATGTGAATGATTTGCAAACAAATGTATGTCAGCTGTGCGGTATAATTCCAACAAATGTGAATAATGTAAGTATATATGGAAAGACCAAAAGAGTTGTAAATGAAGTAAGAAGACTAAATAAGAATTCCAACAAGAGTTTATTAAAAAAATATTACAGAAGGGAATTTACAGTGCCAACACCATTAACACTTCAAAAAAGACCTTACAGCGAAACAACAGGCAAAAAGTGATCAATACAAGTAGATTGAAACAAACAATCAAACGGCAACAAAACACAATATTATTGTTGCGTAAACAGATCAAACATTTAAAAAGCACTTAAGCATGCAACAAAACAATCGACCACAAAGGCGTACAATGCAACTCTGTGAAGACAGATATAGACAATCTGAAGCTGGAATTACAGGATGCCTACTCTCAGGTTGAGCAAAGTGAGATAGTGGGAGAACCTTCTAACAATATTATGTTACATATGCGCTCTAATTCGCAAGGTAGGCCTTATTCAGAAAGTGTATTACTGCTTCCGAAGTAGGAACATTGGATGATAACACATAACACCGATCATGAAATCGGTTTTAAGCCTTGTGGATACCACTAAATCATGTGGTGATTTGCCAAGAAAGTCGACGGCAGCAAATCTCACCCCAGGATATGGTATTGTTGCGAGGCAACATCCGATTGAGGCTTTCATTCTCAAAGCACTTTCAAATGACACCATCCTGCCCATTCTTAAGGCTCTCGGTTTACTGTGTAAACATTTTACTGAGCCGTACTCGAACCGTGCAGGTGATTGATAGAATCTTCCCCTACCTTAAGGGTGTGATAGGGAAATCTCCAACCCTAAGAGTTGATGTTCTTTGGTTGTCTAACCCGTGGCTCTGCCGAGGGTTAGACAACCAAATAAATCACCTCGAGGGTTGGAGATTTCTCTATCCTATTTTTTCAGTCACAACTGCACCGACAGTAGTGTAAACAAAAACAAATGTGGGGTATGAATATCGTCATTCACTTTGGATGACATCATAATTACCGGTGACGCATTTTAATGACGTCATAATTGAACACGTGCTTATCGGCACGAGGCTATCTCCCCCTAGGGGGTGACAAGCTGATCTTTCCCGGCTAAAACGGGAGACACACCTATGAAGGGTGGGAGAAAATGTGCACACAGCATTGGCAATGGGTCCAATTTATAATCAACTGATGGACTTTTTAGATCGTGACATTGCGAACCCCAAGGATTTGCTCGGTAAACACCACATACAACTTGTTATTGGTTCTGAACAGTTGCCAAGCAACGCCATAATTAAGTGTCTGCTTTTACCATCTAAGATAGATAAATTAACAGTTCAAATTTTACAATGGTTTTGTGTTGCTCTGAAAAGTAAATGCCAACACCTGTTCCAAGATTGTTTACCCAAGGGAAAATACTTTCCTCCCGATGAAGAACTACAAACAGGCATAATCTTATCCATCTCACAACATATTTGTGGAAAGACTAATGGCTAAGTTGGATAACAGTCGTGTAACTGCACCAACGTACAACACAACCTCGATTAAAAGTTAGGTCATGTTCCAAGACAACAACTCAGCAGACTGGCTTCATGGGAAAACAATTGCCAGAAAACAAGCCATCATTCAGGAAGCGCGCAAACGGAAGCGATCATTTATGGATGAGGGCAGGTCTCGGAATACAACTGTACAATGACCATCTTGAAATTATTCGACAGAGACAAACAACTGTCACTAGGAAAAACTAAACACTGAAAAGCATGAGGCATTGCAAGATTAGAAAAGCTATGGACTTTGGGACACTGACGTCTAATTGGAAAGATAATTAAACAAATTAAATACAAAGAAAGACAAACTAACTGCCTTGAAACGCCAGCTTAACATGTGTTAGAAGTTATTTCATATTGATGCAAACCACAAACACCTGTTTCTATTTAGTAGCCACAGCAAGTCACGTGACATTGCCCAGTTACGTAAAATTCTGCTGGCAATAATTAGTATTTGTAGTTAAAACAAAAGTTTTGTTTTACCTGTTGGATTATTTTAACAACAATTGGAAACAAACGGATTTGTAAAACAAATTGTCATATTCTATACTGTACAGACATGTATACTATCATCTTGTATACATATTTTAGGTACAGTACTGGGATTTGAATGAGGACATTCATGCTAAAAAAAATAGAGAGTTGTAAGACCTAACCTTGGAAGAAATGAAAGCAGATTTTGATGTTGGGTTTTTAAAATTTCAAGGTAAAATATCATTTTCATGTTATTTATTCATAGTAATGCATCGTCAGAAATCATATCCTTATAACATTGTAATGTTGTAAAAAATGTAGTGATTGAGTTTAAATGTTATTGATTTGCTTTTTACAAATACACCATAGAATACCCTACCACATTTTCTGGAATTACTATAGACAGTGCACTGAGGTAAACTCTGTAAGAGTTATGCCCCTTTTGAATTATATTACTTAATTATTATTAAGGTGTGACAATGAGTTATCTCCCTTTTATCACATTATTTGTCAATGTTGACATCACTGAATCACTAAAATGAAAACAGCCAATGAAAAACCGTCTTACATAATAGATTTTGAGGTATATACCATTGTGTAACAACAACTGGCATTGGTAATTTCAATTGTTTCCAAACTTAGGTGGAAAGGCTAGTTATTGTTGTGACTGTACATGTGTTTGGAAGTTGTATTGTCCTGTCTGTTTTGTTGTTATCTCACATTCTTGCTCAACTGCTGTTCATATGTCCTGCCTGAAGAAATTTCTAACAGCTGGGAGGTCGACCGAGCCCACCCTCCCCGCTCTTTCCAAACCGACAATGGGTAATATAATAGATACACAGGTTTTCTGGACTATGGTAATGGTTGATAACTGGCAGTTTTCTAAACGCAAAACTATTTTTAAGGAGCTTTGGCATGGTTTTGTGTGACAACGGTTTCGATTATAACAACTGACACATATCTCTGTTGTATATATATATATATATGACACAAACATATATGCAGAAAATGATTCGGGTATCATTTTATAAACTCATTATTGTTTTTATATTCGTCAGTGTTTCCTAGTAGTACATGTTAAACAAAGGTTTCCTGATAAAAGCATATCAAAAGCTAAAAGACAATTACAAAGGATATAAACTAATAGATATAACACCCATGGTGGAAAAAACCAAAACTAACATGAACGTAATATAAAACTAATATATATACAAGGTATACAATGTCAAAATTGAATAAGGTTAAATATCCAATAAGTAGTATTTCTTGTTGAGCTTTTAATTTCCGCGGAGGATTATTGGTATTGTAGATTGATTTTGATTTGATAATGTTTTGTTCTTGTTAACGTCTTTCCTATTGTTTTGACGTCCCGTCTGTTCTAGCTGATATCGTGCTTTGTTTAAATTGTCTATATTATTCCGTTTGACATCTCCGCGGTTCCTGCCGGTGTTTTCACTTGAGATTTCCGCGGTTCCTGTCGGTGTCTTCACTGGAGATCTCCTCAAATTCACTATACAAATTATTGGTGACACAACAATGTTCTCGGTCCGACAAGGAATACCAAAAGGCTTTATCATATGTCACAGAAAACTCATATTCTACCAGAGTCATTATTTTCATTTATTTTTTACCAAATGGGAACATGTCTTTTCGTTGGTAACACTTCCTCTCAGATAATCCTTGTATCTGTTGTGTGGATTACAATAGTGTACCTATCAGTTGAGGGTCAAGTGTGTTTTGATATTTTATCAAAATTTCGTTATAACGTTCATTTTGGTGCAGTTATTGGTGTAATAGATTATTATTTTGTTAGATAAAACTATTTATTTATTTTATCTGATGATTCCAAAGATATCGTTCTGACCTTATACAAACGCAGAAAGAAGAACATGTCTTTGCTTGTTCTCTCCATTATATCCCACAAATCGAGTAGAGGTTTTGCTGACAATCGACACTGGTCAGACCTGTCTGGGTCAACAGGACACAGTGACCTTCAGAAGGATCAGGGTTGTTATGAGACCAGAGGGCACTGTTGAGAACATCCGTTCCTCCACTGTACCGCCAGACGCTAGAACTGTAGACTCCGGAAACGTAGAATCTGTAGTCTTGTTCTGACATAAAACAAAAGATAGATACAAGCACCATATAAATATACGATAAACTGAAAAATATCGATATTATTCAAAATATGATAGAATACATCACTAATGAATTATCTAGACTGAGAAATCGAAAACCAGGTGTAATATATTCAAAGTGTAGCATGATGCTTCGCCGTGTGATAAATTTAAAAATCTTGTTCTGAGATTCCTTTGTTTGTACGATACATGAATGAATGATTATTTTTCTCTTACACTTAACTACCGTAAAAATAAGTTGAACTAGTGAGGCAGGCTGAGTATTGAACAGTCGAAATTATGAATAATATGTCGAATATATGACGAAATGTGTAACACTTGTAATCAGGTCGAGTAGTTTTATGAACAGTCCCCATACAGATTTGGATGAGTACCTTCCACATGCTATTTTGGCTTACCGCGCAACTGAGTTGAAAAGTAAACATATTAACCTAATTGAATGATGTTCCGGAGAGAATCCAGCATACCAGTTTCAATTGCCAAATCAGATGAGGCCATTTCTCAGAATAAGAGGGCGTGACAGCTGAAGGAGTTGATGGAGAAGGCTCATCAGCATGAAAGACCAAATGTGGAGGGAGCTAGAAACGCCTACAAACTGTACTGCTATCGGAAGCTGGCCTGGATTTACTTCAAACATTGGGACTTTGTGAATGTACTCATCAATAATTAAGGAACTATACTATGGTTGCATACCATACTTGTAACGTCGTTAAGTAAAGAAGAAGAAATGAAATAGTTACTTCCACTAACTCATCAGACTAACTAATTTACTTAAGAGTAGTAAGTTTATATTACGATTAAGTATGTAATACTTGTCACCATGTTGAGTGTTTGTTTTATTAAGAGTCACCAGACAAATTAATGAACATCTCCCTCTTGTAATGGTGGCTTCCCGCTCAAATGAGTAAGAAACCAAAACACATTTCATATTAGATAATGTTCGACAGGGAAACCGGTACCCCATATATATGTTGTTTGGCATGTCAAGGCAGATGCAGGCCATCCCCCAGAGTCAGTGGGCATGGTAGCTGTACGAGTGAATTGAGAATGCTCATCAGAACGTACGACAAAATAGACACAGCCAAAAGAGGTACTGATACAGGAAGCTTGCCTCGACTGACCTCGAGCCTTGGGACTTCATGTAAATGTTCTTCATCAACGTACGGCCGGGAATAATGCGAAAACTAGCCATCGGAGGGACCTTTGAAAGTAACTGAAAGACCAGTGAATTTCACAGGTGTGGTCACAAATGTCCGATGCATCTGATGCATGTCGATAGAATGAGAATGAGACATGTACAATCAATGACTGTATATGTTTACTGATACAAAAAATATCTCAAATAATGCTTGCTCAGACATAAGCAATAGTAATGAGCTCATTAACTCGTCTGCATATATTTGCTTTTTGCTAAAAACAAAAGACAAGAGAATACCGAAGTGTCAACAAAACCATATTTTGAACTCAAAATAGATAAAACTAAATGAAAGATTTACATGGTGACCATTGAAATAATAAGACCATATGTTCCGGAAGGGTAGGCGTAATATGCTTTATAAGTGGCAACCGCCATGAAAATCTTACTCGAACCTACGTAATGTCACGTCCTCACATAAAAACTCGTGAAGCGACACAATACTTATTAACCTTCATATCTCTAAGGGAAATAATATATTTATCTGCAAGATAATAGTGGCGACCATATCACTTATCCATAGACTTCATCAAACTGTATCTTTGGAAACCTTGTGATGTACGTTTGTCCGTCACCATTCAACATATGTGACATGTACACTCGAGATGTAGGGAAAACAGTAATGTTGCTTTCAATCTCACGTTCGGAGAGTCGCAATTGTTTCGCGTATTGTACGGCTTAGTAGTAAGCCGTCCCTGTTGGTCATGTTGTTAGTAATGATCTGGAAAAGCGGCTTGAGTAGATGAGTCTGTGGTGTCCTTGATTTCAAGGTCTGTAGGATATCTACAATCGACGTTGTCCGTTCGCAACATGGTCTAGTAAACTACAATATTCTATAGTGGTGCACAAAGAATACATGGTGATAATCGACACTCTGCTAGCAAAGGGAATTATCATCTCTGTATTACATTCGCTCAAACAAGGGGGTAAAAGGTCATATCTCCCATACAAATTGTGCAAAATATACGTAAATTGGTAGTGAACAACTAAATATGTAAGAAAAATTGAATAGCTGTCATCAAATACTGTAAAAAGTAAACGTAGATCGCAATTGTATAACTTATGGTACTTATCACGTGAAAACGTGCCAGAAATGTTGATTATGAATACTTATACCGCAGTACTTTGACCAAAGTTCATATACGGAAATCAGGAAAGGGGCATGACTGTAATAAAAAAAAAATAACCCTGAAATGAAAATCACAATCTCACAAGCATTTATCAATCAAGCGAACACAATTAAATAACAATCGACCGAGATGAAATACTTCAGGATATTTCGGTGGCACGAGGGACGGGCGCTCTAATTTAAGGATTCCATCTAGTCTGTCAACAGTAGAAGCGATCATTTAGTTTAAAGCATCAAGGCTAAGTAAACCACATAAATCTACCGACGTGCACATGTATTGCATGGTGATTACTGACACTCGGGTTGTAACGTGCAAAATATTTCGCTTAAACAAACCTAGCCTAGTTGCAGGGAGGGGTATAAATATGTCAAGAGTGGTGCTTACCGTTCTGTTTCTTTATTTGACACCCACTGACATCAAACCTGAGGGTGACACGCCCCTGCCAAGACTGCGGGTTAATACGCAGATGACGAGCTAGGATGTGTGGGGTAACTTCTGACGTCATTGGTGTGTTTCTGTCATGACTTCCAACAAACAACTTAAAGAACAAAGTCAAACTAGTCAGTCATCTTAATAAGTCACCTTTTGAAAATTACGGTCTAACACCATGATAATGATCGGTTAATATCATTTGTTTTCACCATGGTGCACACTAAGTTTAAATTTCGTTTACTGGTACCCGGGACATTTGCTTTGACATATTAGTGACGCTGATATGGGTACGACAGGGTTCAGTATTTTATCAAAATAACGATCAAATCAAAGTTCTACGTTATCAGAAATTTCACATGGTTTAAAGTAGAATATGCTGTAAGTTATGAGTGCAAACATGTAATTAAATTTTGGACAATAACAAATCTTAAACACGGAAAATTGTAGTATTTTCATACTGATGTTTCACTATGTCTATTTTTTACCGTAGAGATACACCCACTTCCGGTTATTGTCTAAAAAATCAATATATATCATTAGGTATATAACGTTGTGTTACTATTGTTAAAAATAAAAGACATTATCTGGAGGTTGAACTGTAGTAAAGTCTCTTTCCGAAAACAATCATATCCGCCCGAAACACAAACATGTTCCCTACTGCCTTCTTGTAGAAACAGGCATTTGTTTAAAAATAGCGTGACTTATATTTGGTCCATGGTCGAGTGACACAAAAATATATTCAATTCGTCACATCGTTGTACAGGTAAAGAAAACAAATCGCTCACTCAGTCAAAGCTTGGCAGAGGGACCAGTCGGTTTTTAAAGGTTTGACACAGTTACTAAGTACATTGATTGTGTTGAAAGTAACATTTTGATATTACATATTTCCATTTCCAAACTGAAAAATATTTTAGAAAATATCCTTCCGCCATCTGTTAGAAGCAGGCCGTGGTTAACACAAAGTGTGACTCACATTTGGAGATCCATCAGGTGACTTGACCATTGTCCACGTGACGCCGTCCATGCTGGAGAGTAGATAGTAGGTTGTGACCCACTCAGCATAATCGAATCGTCCTTGTACGGTTACTGCTCTAATGATCGTATCTACTGAAAACGTGACCTGAAAAGGTAAGTTTAAGTTATGTTCCCTTAATGAACACTGTTCATGATAACAAAAACAAACACACAAGAACATGCATTAATAAAATAACAGAATCAGGATTAACATTATTCTAATAATAAATGCTTTTCCAACGTAAAATTTGAAAGTCAACATGCAAATAAGCTATATTGAAGTCATTAAAAATGTTGAATTCGAATGACTCGAATAAATATATGATCGACGTGGTTGGCATTTGCTAGACACATTTTATTCTTTATTGTGCTTGATGTATCTATATCAATAAACGTAGCTACGGCCGTGACCTTCTAATTTTGATGGAGATTCACAATATCAACATGCGTTGCTTAGTGTTTCCTTGTGAGTTATTCTGACACCCAACTCTTCATAACAAGCATATGTCAAGATTGCAACATAAAAGAAACGATACAAATCTTTTTCGGATTGATTTTTTTAATAAATGATAACTTTATAACTAAGTCTTACCTGTATAAACTGGTCTGTATTTTCAACGTCACTTTTCCAACCTCCAACTCTCTTTGATGTTGATAGGACATCACCAGGATAGAAAAGCCTGGCATTTCTTGGACTACAGTCAAGTTTGTTTTTAAGGCAGTGTTTTGAGTAACTGGAAGCGGACAGTGCAGTATCATTGACGCCATGCAGACCAGAGACCAGGTAGTCCGAACATATAAGGATATCTATAAATATAAGGACGTTTGGTATGTTGACAAGTTAACCATTTATCCTTCAAAGAGATCACAAAGCGATAAGCGATCGATCATTACACAGAAGACGTAACATATCATTGTATTGACTTTTCGGATACTTCGGGGAGGAGATAGGAATATACGCGCTGTTACCAACTGCATTTTGTGAGACGCAGCAGATGAAGGGAACCCTTGTAGTATTGCGGATATGCGTTTGTGTCCTCTTATTTAGGACTTGGATAAGCTTCGCCCCTTTAGGATTTCTATAATTCCTTCCCTCTTCACTATGACCTTTTCGTTTCCTAGCCCCTTGATTTCGGATTTCAGATTTCAGCAAAGAACAGGCTTGCTGTATTAAAGAAGTCAAAATAAATTTGCTACCAGCGGCAAAAACGGATCGGTATAGGCATCATTTAATATATAAAATAAATAGATATAAACAACACTTGATAATGCGTCCTATCTAGCTAGAATAAGACATTCTAAAGCGCTTTACAGTACAAAGATATACAATTTACACAATCATTGAAGAATGTGCAGGAAGTGATTTACCAGGCGCTTACTACTAGTCATATCCCACCTGACTTATATCTGCATATGTGTGTGTACCTGTGTGTGTGCTGGAGATATATTGCTATATATGTTCAAATTATATAGAGAAGGAAAGAGAAAGACAACTTATGTCTTCTAAGTAAAATAGATGCTTTGCTACATCCAACAAATAGAGAAGGACAAAACATAACACTTAGAGAATCAAAAGGATAGACACATCATCCTAGATAATGCTCCAATGACTTTTGAAATAACATGTCATAGTTATAAACGAAGATATAAATTCATCTCTTAGAATGAACAACAGAATTAACCAACGCCTAGGAAATAGCAAAACGCCGTTCCCTTATAAAAGAAACTGTGATCTGCCAAGCGAGACATCATCGATAAATATAGCGGAACACTAGGTTTACGATTATTACAAATTTATATCATATACAGTAAAATAACAAGCAATCGTTTATTAACATTAAATATTTCATACGGCCGACCTTGGTTCGATGTTGAGATATCTTTGTATAGGCATTGTCATACATGAATGATCAATTTATTATTTACAGAATGCTACGTACCTGTCATTACACACTGAAAACAGCAACAGCAATATATCAAAATTGTGAACTTCATCGCTCGTATAGCGTTGACGTCATCACATCTAGGGAGAAACACAGTATTTCAGATCTTCGGTATTTTCCATTTCATGTGTACATGTTTAATAGATAATTAAGAGTATTAATCATGTTCAAAGTGTTTAATTTTTACAAAACCTGATTCGTTGTGTTCCCCTTTCCTGAGACGCTAGAAAATATCAATAATGCGAAGCTTTATGGAAGAAAAAACTAAATACAGTCTATGGGTTATAAACGTTGCCACAAACAACAATGGGCATTTCATATCTTTTGAAAGAGACGTTTATGTTTTAAATTACTGTTTGTGTTCAAAACATACTTAGCATTTATACTTCAGAAATGAGGGCCTGTTCTTCCAAACACTTCCAATCTGCAAAAAAGAACGTGTAAAACAATACACAGTATTCCCATACAATACACAGTATTCCCAAACAATACAAAGTATTCCCATACAATAGACAGTATTCCCATACAATACACAGTATTCCCATACAAAACACAATATTCCCATACAATACAGATTATTCCCATACAATACACAGTATTCCCATACGTTACAGAGTATTCCCATACAATACACAGTATTCCCAAACAATACAAAGTATTCCCATACAATAGACAGTATTCCCATACAATACAGATTATTCCCTTTCAATACACAGTATTCCCATACAATACACAGTATTACTGTTCTGTCTTCTCACAGAGATTTAATGTCTTTATCGATTAGTTTCACCTTCTCTTGTTGTATATAGATTTATCGACTACTTGGGGCTCCTCGTGGTCTGACTGGGAAAAACAAATATGGCAGCGCCCTACATGTAGGCATGCTACATATTCTTATTTACAACCTTTTGGTTAAACGGTGCTAGTTCACACTTTGTAAGTATTTCTTCAAATTATAATGATGCTTAGTTTATTATTTGCAGTAACAATTTATGTAATTTCTGCATAATCCAGGTAGAAAAAGGGATAATATAAGTCGCCATAATTGGCATAGCTTAACTTAGCTAGAAGTGTTGAATAATTCACCATACATATAAATTTACCTTTCCAGTTCTCGGTGAGGACTTTAGGACTATTTGTTTTGTATTTTCTAGATAAGCCCTTATGCTACAGAATAGTTTACCTGGTTTCTTGTTAGTTATTTACATAGTATCGTATATGTTTATCAGATAGAAGCTTTTGGAAGATAGATATGATGATTTCGATAAGATGGGATATGTTCGGTGATATGTGAATCGGGTAGATTCATGTACAGAAATTGTATGCGATATAATTACAGTATAGGCTTTCTTGATATGTGTACATGTTTATACAGAGATAGAAGACTGTTTGGTAAGATTTGTTTATATTTGTTGTAGCATTTCACCGCTTCATGTCCATGTGGGGTCTGTACCAGACAACGTTAACTGCTTTTGTCATCTGTACCAGATACATGTTGATTTTCGGAATAAATGGACAAATTGGTGACACTATCTGTGATTGTGGTTCATATGTCAATCGTGCGACAGAAAAATTACCATACAATACACAGTATTGCAATACAATACAAAACCTAGATTAGCATTACAACACAAAAAAAACAATAACAATAGGATCACGCGATATGATACAGGGCTTCTCATATACAATACAGAAGACGCCAATACAACACACATTAGGCCGATCCGAAACGGAGAATGAATATACATTACAGAAAACACAAAAAAACACAGAGCGCGTCAATACAGGGCTAAGGAAATATATGACATACTGATAACACCTATACAAACAGAGAGTGCGCCAATACCATACAGATGTCTAGGTTAGAAAAGACGCAAATAAACACAGGGTTCTCAAATCCTACAAGGAGGGCACCAATACGATACAAAACACATCAATACATTACACAATACGCCAATAGAAAGCAGAAAACAAAAATTGTAAACAAACAACGGGAATTAAATATAGAGAGCGTCAACACAATAGTCTTTGCTCAAACACACCAGGTCAAATACAATAAACTTTCAATATGTTTTTTTATTTAACAATAGGGGAACTTACAATAAGAGGTATACGTATACGCATTAGGGGCAAAGAAGTAATTCCAACAGTGTGGACAAGTTTAGGTTGTCAAATTTTCGGAGCGATCCGCTCCTTTATCAAGACACAGTGAAACAGAACAGTTACACGTACATATACATCATATTACTAGAAGATAGAACTGATATACTATAATTGAAAATATAACTATTATATAAAACCAATAGTCCCCTCGGCTAAAGACAGCCGAAGAAAGCAATTAAGCTAAGAGCATCGCGGACAAGGAACGCTGATGTAGAGGACCTATTCTTGCGCTAGATGCACTATCACATAAAGTGAGTCAACGAGAGATAAGCACCAGAAGGAAGGGACGAGATATCAAAAACGTGGAACATGTGCATGTGGGAATCTAGCCCGGTAAATGTGAAAATCCCATTTTCCTACGGAATGCCCTCATTGATCGCCTCTCAATTCTGTAGTGGATTTAACAGTCACAGCATGGGTCAACACTTAGTCGCCTCTTTCGGTTTCAGGAATGCTGGTAATTGTCAAATAAGTGAGTGCAGAAGGAATAAGTAGATGAAATGGCTAAGATATTGTATAAATCTGCAAAATAATTCTGATAACGGCTGTTGATCACACACACTGCTATGCAGCAGCAGACAGGCGAGATAGCAGTAATGCACCATTAGGTCAAATGTCCCCTGGAAGGAAAACGAGCGGATGGCAACCGCCTATCGTTCGTTCATACCTCGAGGGTAGCGGGTTTGTAGATTGGTGATCCAAAACCGTTCTCTCGTGCGTCGTCTCGTTTCATCCCATGTAGGGCAATGATCTATGGCAACAACCTGCATGTCTTTCCAACTGTGACTAGGCATATTAAAATGCATTGCCACAGGGAAGTCTGGTTTGTTGTGCTTGATGGAGCAGCAATGGTTGTTGATTCTGATATTGAGCTGGGTGCAGGTCTCGCCCACGTGCTGTAAATTGCATTTTTTGCAGGTAATTAGGTACACCACATTGCCTGATGTGCATGTCAGTGTTTGTAGTATGCCGTTGATTGTACATTGAAATGTATCTGTGGAGCGCGTGTATGGACACAGTTTGCACACCTTCTTGTTACAGGTATTGAAAGAGCCTTTCGCCGCAGCAGGGTTAGGGGTAGGTAGCTTGCTGCTTACCACAAGATCTCTAATGTGTTTAGGTCTACGCTATGCCAGTATAGGAGACTCTGGAAAGATCTGCCTAAGTTTCGCTGAATATTTGAAAATGCGCCAGTGCTTTTTCAAGATAGATGGAAGTAGCGGCATGTCTGGGTGGAACATGACTATACAATGTACCCTTTGTATTTGAGGTCTGACTTTGTATACAAACAGATTTGCCCTGTCCAGTACCCTCACTTTGTCTATTTCCCGATCTATCAAAGTAGACTTGTATCCTCTGCCAAGAAGATGGGACTTTACCTCTGGACATCTGCGTTCAAAGATGATGTCATCCGAAATAATACGCCTGATGCGAAGTGATTGGGAGTAGGGTATGCTCCCGTGGTGTGCGAGGGGTGACAACTGGATGGGAGGAGATACTGATGTGTGTCAATAGGTTTACAGTGGAGGTCCGTACTAATCTTACCATCAATCAGAGTGGAACTGGTGTCCAAAAATGTGTTGCTCTCCGTGGAGATATCCGCTGTGAATTTGATGGTGGCGTGGAATGCGTTAGCGTACTCAATAAACTCGTCAAGGGAGTCCCGACCAGATGTCCATTTGATTTCAACGTCATCGATAAATATCAACCAGCTAAATGGCTTAATTGGAGCAGATGTTAAAAATTGGGCTTTAAGATGTCCCATAAAAACTTTGGCATATGAGGGGGTCATCTTATTACCCATGGCTGTACCACTAACTTGTATGTAGTTATCCTCATTGAATGTAAAGTTGTTAAATATCAGGACAAGTCTCAGTAAATCCACCAGGCTATCAGTCGATGGGTGTTTGTTACTGCGCCGTGCCCATGCCTCGCGACAGGCAGCAATTCCGCCGTCATGCGGTATGTTAGTGTAGAGGGACACGACGTCCATCGTAACTAACAAGGTACCTTCTGGTAAGTTCTTAGCAGGTGTTTTGTTAAGATAGTCTGTGGTATCTTTTAAAAAAGATGGTAAATATTCCACGAATGATCGGGGGTAGAAGTCAACAAACTAGGATTTTTTTCTCCGTCGGGTGGTTGATCGAGTTAATGATGGGTCTACCAGGGTTCCCAGGTTTGTGAATTTTAGGAAGAAGATAAAACTTTTCTGCTTGGGGGTTTTCGGGGCGCAGGAATTTCGCGGTATCGTTGTCAATATCACCCTTCTTTAAAATTCTATTGATGGTATTATTAATCTGCTGTGCGTGTACGGGCGTCAGGTCACACTATCGACCTTACGATAAAATGTCTCGTGTGGGAGTTGCCGATTAGCCTCTTGGATATAGTCGTCCCTGTTCATTATAACAACTGCACAGCCTTTGTCCGCTGGCTTGATGACAATGTCCGAATTATTTTTCAGGGATTTGAGTGCTTGGCGTTCCAAAGGTGACAGATTGTCCTTGTTGTCTGCGTGTTGTTTAAGTGGACGACTACTTCCTCCTTCATTGCACTGATGAACGCTTCGAGAGCAGGTACTCTGCTAGGAGGAGGGTTCCATTTACTTTTATGTTTGAATGGATTGATCAGGGGTGCGACGGGAGACTCTTCTGACGGAGTATCCTCTACATCATCTGGGTCACGGTCGTTAGCAAAGTACACGCGTAGCCGAAATAGCCTGTAGAATCTGTCCGTGTCTTCGTTCAGCTCTGCATTGTTGGGGCTTTTGGGGATCGGACGAAAAATAACCCTAGTAAGAAGTGGATATAGATACGTATTTGACAGGGAGCGAGCATTATTAAAAAATTGTGGTAAAATAGTATTCACATTTCTGTTACTGCTTTAATAAATAAATAAACAATGCGAATTGGGAGCTCCAATATTAACACGATACGTATGAGTGATCATTAACAGAATATTTGGTTAGTCCTGTATCCAGAGAGTCTCTCCACCGGCCTATATCATGAACGCACTATACAGCTAAACGGGTACAATGTAACTTGGTGTGCACAACTAACGACAGATAAACCTGAGTGTCAAAATGAAGCAATGGATTCCGTTTGTGAACCAATTCATTACTTGATATATTTACATGTAAAAAACTGAAAACCAGCAGGCAAGCAATATTTTAATATTTATTGATCAAAACATAACTCAGCCCTTCTCTGGACGACTTATTAGTCACTAAAAGTAGCATGTAGCTTATCCAAGTACCTAAGCAGTACATAATTTATGTAAAGACACTTTGATATTTTCTTTAAAATTCTATTCAATGCAATTGGATACTTATAAACTATATCAATTGATATATCTCTACACTAGCATTATAACAATGTAGCAACACTTCCACATCATCTCTGGTCATCCACTCGACTCCGGTACGTGTGTATGCAAAGTAATCGTTTGGCTGCATAAGCATAACACTGTTACCTCATTTAGTTTCATTTTATCAAATTCCTCGAACTGTTCTTCCTGATTCTTTTCTTTTAAGTACGTCCTCAGCATGTTTGCCGCTCGTCTGTTGGACTTTTGTGTGTTTTGTGGCACAAAGTTAGCCCTTTTGGCGAGTATTTCCTCGTCAGTGTGTGAAGCGAAACGTTTTGCAATTTTGTAACCAGCGAAGCTGACGAAGAACGCGAGTTGTCTCCCGTTGCTCGGCCGAAAGATTCAAAGACACGTGACCCGTATACCCATTGTAAAATAACATGATTCCACCGTATTACTGATGTGAAACACGTGACATGACCGTATACCCCCTGAGATTTTCGTATACCCCCTGAGATTTACGAATGCGGTTTGGTACACTGTAGTTTTTAACCAATCAGATTCCTAGGTTTTTCTCAAAGAGGTAATAAGTATCTATATACCTCGTTTTATAAGTACCCCTGTAATTGGTATTCTGACACAATACTATTTAAGGTTATATATTACAGTAAATGCCTATATATTTCATAGAAAAAATAACGATACATTTATCATTTCATACAGAATACACCTAACCATAGAAAATACATCAATGCCAACCAAAGGCGCACAAAAATCCGTAAAATTCTCAACCCAAGTCAATGCAGCAGTGTCGAAAGATAACCAGATGTTAGGTATTCTGTTTAGAACCTTCCTTGTTTATGGACATAGCTCTTTTTACAACCCTGGATAAGTCCCTTATCCGTCCACATCGGGAATACGCTACGCAAGAGTGGTCACTGTCTCTAAACAAGGACAAAATAGCAAAGGAAATTGTCCAACAAAGAGCAACTAAAATGGTAATAAAAAATACAGAATATGCCCTACAATGAACGCCTAGGAACATTAGGTCTACCATTTCTGGAATACAGGCGTGGGAGGGCAGATGCGGTCGAGCTGTACAAAATATTGAACGGGATCGTCCAGTTAGACTACGGACTGATGTTTCGGCTACACCACTCAGTATCACTAGAGTTCACTCTAAAACATATTCAAGAAATCTGTCAGGCTAAACTCTAGTAAGAATGTCTTTCGTAACCAAGTGATCAAGGTCTGGAACAATCTACCCGAGGAAACGGTGTAATCAAAAACACTAAATGAGTTCAAGTCCAACTTAAACACCTTGTGGAGAAATCATCCAAGGAAGTTCTGCCCTTCCTTTTGTCATTAATGAGTCACATGGGAATATTAAACAGTAATAAACATATTACCATTAAAATGTTTGTTACTCCTTTAAATATAGTTAAGGTACAATAAAATATAGTGTAAAAGCATAATACAATGTAAATAGTTTTAATCCCTGCGCGACCGAAGTCCGTCGATGGCAGGATGTTCTGATGGCAACGCATCAAGTCAGAGGAGGATAGTTAGACGTCTCCACAAGCGAAAGCTTACTATCGACGTTTAACAACAATAGTACGGATTTTCATGGTAAATGGCACAGTGTACAGCATCGTTTGAAACTGTGTCGGATAGCACTATATATAGTATATTTAATAGAATATGTGAACGCGCGGTACTATTACAAACAAATATTAATTATACTTACATTGTGAAGCAGCCAATTATCTAATACTCCAATTATCAAAAGAACAGTGTATTGCCTTATGATAGTATTTTCGAACATAAAAAATAGTCAATTTTTTGTCGAGCCTGTTGTACGGTATCGACAAAGTTTGTGTTTGTCGTACCAATGACATTGATAACAAATCACTGCCAATCATCTTCTACGTCCATAGTTCATTAAATTTTGCGACATCTTACGTCAAGCTAGAAATAATAATATGGCCGACTGCTTCGACAGGAGTGCATAACATTAGTCGGCATATAGTGCTTAGTGTATCACAGCAAAAGGGGTGTACCCTTCAACAAGACAGTATAGTTAATGAGCTGGGACGATATCAATACTTCATATCATTTACTTGTAACACTGTAATATCTGACGTATTATATTTTTTAAAGGCGACCGGTAATTTTACGTTAGCTTAAAGCGTATTGGGAGACATCCTAGCCGAAAAAGATATCACTTTTGCACTTCATTAAGGTGGGTCTGTAAATGGAGGTATGATGCACATTTGTTAGCATATCTTTAACTAAAACAACAGTTCAATATATGTGCATGGGAATGTTCTGTTAAAATCATTATGCCTACTTAATACAATAAGAATTTTACCCGCAAATATATAGAACGAACATGACAGCTTAGCGATATATTTAATCTGACGTTCTGTTTTCTGCACTTTAGTACATGGTAATGTCGTTATATAAATAAATAAATAGCTTTAAGAAATAATTTTTATTTCGAGAATCTCACTTACTAACAACGATAACAAAGTATATAACTAAGATTACCCTGTATAAACGAGTCTACATCGTTTATGTCGCTTTGGCAACCTCCAAGTCTGACTGATGTTGAGAGGTCATCACCGGGATAGAAAAATCTAGACTTTCTTGAACGACATTCTTTTTGGTTTTTAAGGAAACTAGAAGTGGTTAGTGCAGACTCATTGATGTCATAGAGACCAGAGACCAGGTAGTCCGAACAGATGAGGATATCTTCGAAAATAAGGACGCTGTGTATGTTAAATATATATCAGTATCACACCTGCATGAAGAAATCAGAAATGGTCTCGAAGTAAGATATTTCTCTGTCTACATTTAAACTTTATTCAACTTAAAAACTTATGTAATAAGTTCTTTCAACTGATATGAATCACTCATGTCCGCCCGGATGTAACAGCGCGGGGGTATTGATGTCGGAGAAAACCGAAGTAACCGGTAAAAGCCCACGTGGCCGGGCAAGTGACCCTAAATCTTTCCACATCCGATCGGGGAAACGAATCCAGGCCGCCTTGGTGATATGTTAGTACACATTCACTGCGCCTCCCGACCACCCGTCTATCTATATAAACCCCTGTCACACTCCACCGCGTTTCCACGGAGTTGGCACGGTGTTGTGAAATTTCTCACAGCGCCGTGGGATCGGCGGATAATTCTGAAAAACGCTTGACTTTATTTAAATTTTTCACAAGATGAAGATGTCAAGGTGCCCTTTCGGTAAATGAGGCGTTTCTATGGAGTGCCCATGGCGTGCTTCCGCGTTCCCACTCAGTTCTAGTTGGTGATTGACTGCGCTCTCACAGAATGCTCACGGCGTGTTAGCAATTGTCGCTGCGCTGACGGTGTGCCCAACATATTGCGGTCGTATTGCATATACGAAGTGTATAAAAACACCATGATCAGGTGCTATTTTGCTATTCTACATAAACACATCATGTCCGGCAAGAGGAGTAGAAGGAGGAAGACAACGACAATTAATGACCCGGTCATCCGTCATTGCCTCATGAAGCAGGGGAGGAGTCACATCCTACCCTCCGGGCAAGCAGTCCATCCAACTTGTCTACGTTACACAGGAGGACGACACCTGACAGCATGGCTCGGGTTGAACAAATTCATCTATAACAAGCTGGTCAACGCCTACAAGAATCTTAT